GAGTGCCCTTCTGCTGGACCAACTGTCTGCAAGCTGGCCATGCCTAGAGAGAGCAACAAATTCGGCTGCAGGAGCGCTTTGAGGTAGCGGAGCGTGCACAGGGCCGAAGACAGACGACAAGAGGCAGCCTTCATCGTCGACCCTGCTCACGCCCCAGCCCGCTCTACAGAGGTCAGCAATCGGGTGCCTAAAACACGAGCCATCGAACAACAGCTTACCAGCCATGTCCCCGTCTTCTCCTTCAGGAAAACCGTCCGATCTGATCTCCGTCCCTCCCGACGCGAGCGGAGCAGGCCAGACAGCGCACGGGTGCTCGAAAACTCCACGACAGAACAAGAGGCGATCACCATCAGACAGATCGGACAACGCTTGATCTCGACTTGAGGCCTTGGCGATCTCCTCCCGTTCGTCCTGGCAGGCAGAACAGGTCCACAACCTGTGATGTATAGTATCGCGTTCCATGCCACAGAGTGGGCAAAGAAGCCGCTCTTCAGGCAAGTCATATCCTAGGCTCGCAGCACGATCTGCGGTCCAAACACCATTGCAAGCAATATTACGAATGCATCCTTGGCCAAATGCCGAATACTTCTTACTGCTAGCCTGAGCACGCACAATGTCCATGCAGACTCTGTCCCATCCCGTCTCCCACTTCTCGGCAAGGCTGCACTCTAACAAACGAACACACTGTTTGCGAGCGAGGTCTTTGAGGAGGGTGGGGCTGACGAAGGTGAGGAGGATATCAACTCCGTCATGGTCTCTGATGGTGGCTGAGGAGGAGGAGGAGGAGGAGAAGGAGGAGGAGGAGCAGGAGAAGGAGAAGGAGGAGGAGGAGGAGGAGGAGTTGGGAGGAGGGGAAAGGAGGAGGAGGAGAAGCTGGGAGAGGGGGCAGATGATTTCGCATTCAACCACGCTAACACACCACACAAGCCTCCTCCGATCCTGCTGCTGCTGCTACCTATGCGACCACCCTGCGGGTGATAAGCAGGTGGGGGGGGAGGGGGCCAGCAATAGGCACCAGTGGTGATTGTTGTTCTGACGAGGCCAATGGAGATCGTTGCGTTGCCGCTCGCTCTTGGGAGCCTTGGTGTCGAGTTGTTTACGTCACCCTTCGCTCTTGGGCGCGTTGGTTCCCCCCCCTCCCCCGGGAACCAACGAAATAATACATTATTTCGTTCATTT